CCTTACTGAGAGCTCCCAGTGTGGATGGACACAGTACGGTCTTCAACACAGTCCTTACTGAGAGCTCCCAGTGTGGATGGACACAGTGCGGTCTTCAACACAGTCCTTACTGAGAGTTCCCAGTGTGGATGGACACATTGCGGTCTTCAACACAGTCCTTACTGAGAGTTCCCAGTGTGGATGGACACAGTGCGGTCTTCAACATAGCCCTTACTGAGAGTTCACAGTGTGGATGGACACAGTGCGGTCTTCAACACAGCCCTTACTGAGAGTTCCCAGTGTGGATGGACACAGTGCGGTCTTCAACACAGTCCTTACTGAGAGTTCCCAGTGTGGATGGACACAGAAAAAAGTCATATAGAGTGCGCACTTTTGAAGCGATAGCGCCAAAATTATGGAACAGTTTGCCGCAATCTTTGAGGGAAATTGAAAATGATAAAAAAATCATTTCAGAAACAATTAAAGACTTTTTTATTTAAATAGATTTAAGAACAACAGAGTTCAGAGCGCTGTGAGCATGCTAAAGTGGCGTGGATACAAGCGCTATGTAAATATTCAATTCAATTACAAATACATAAAATTTGAAGGTAAGAACTATGGCTAGTGTGTAGAAAAAACACCTCTTTCTCTTGGCTCAAGTCAGTGGCGTAGCTGGCGTTAGAGCCTCCCGGGACGGGTTTAGACATTAGCTACCCCCTCGACGAAAGCATTCTGTCGAAAATGACCCCCCCCCCTTATAAAGGAAAAATGCCGTCAAGGACTAGCCGCCCCCTTTTCTGTGCCGCCACTAGCTCAAGCCCTAGTTGGCTCACCCACATGAGATATGTCCAAGTGAGACAGGCAGGCTAGTTGGCTCACCCATATGAAATATGTCCAAGTGAGACAGGCCAGCTTAATGGCTCACACCTGGCTATGAGACATGTCCAAGTGAGGCAGGCAAGCTAGTTGGCTCATCCTTATGAGACATATCCAAGTTAGGATGGCCGGATAATTAGTAAAATTACGCCCATTTATGAACCCATTTCAGTGTATCATGTACACAAACATTACAAACAGCAGGTGAAACATTTGCCAACATTTGGTCCACATGCAAACAGTAGGTCCAAAATTTGGCTCACATACAAACAGCAGGTCCAACATTTGGCTCACATACAAACAGCAGGTCCAACATTTGGCTCATATACAAACAGCCCATGCATTAATTCGCTGACGTACACAAAAAATGATTAAATATACAATATAAAGCTGTTGTTTTATTGGTGACATCAAAATATAATTTACACAAACATGTCCTTCACTCAAGTTCAATAACCTGACGGCACAGATTAAAGGACCAACACTGTGCTCTAACTTATCTGTAGGACTCCGGTGGGCTGTCCGTTGATGGCTCACTTCTGTGAAATACAGGGCAACAATAGTAAGACGAGATTGTATCTATTTTTAGAGACGGCGATCAAGTGATGTTCACTTGAGATAAGCAGGGCCAGTGCACTAAGGTCAAAACAGATTATTTGAAAATAAACAGTTCCACCCACAGCCATGTTAACAGATCATTTATTAAACCAGGGGTTCTTAAAACCTTTTGTAGCGCTACATTGAGTCCCTCACCACCCCCCCCTCTCTCTAATTTCAATACATTTCCTTTACACCATTTCCATTTCAAAACATTATATAAAATATAAAATGCAGATATAGCCGCAAATCAACATGTCTTTCCACACCCCCAAGCACTGTCTCCTGGACACCCAGGGGTTAAGAACCCATGGATTCAGTGGAGTAGAATAATATTTTGTCTTTATAAATAAATATTTATATGTCTATTTCTTTAAATGTAACTTCATTTTAAAATTGATATTTACACACACACAAAATATAAAATTGGTACCGGTAATTTGATATTTCAAAATGTTTTTTGTGTGTTTTTTTTCGTTTATTCACCACTGGCAGATTCAGTCTAAAGCTACTAATATCAAGGCTGTGAAACACTAGGATGAATGACTTCAGTTTGGAGACCAATAATATCTAGCCTGTGAAACCCTACAGTGAATGACTTCATTTTTGAGACCATTGCTATGGATGAATATGTCTAGACTTTATTTGTTAATCTCGTGTAAATCGAAATTTTTTAAAAAATTTTTTGGGGTAAATATTCACTGGGCTGCCTTTGCTTTTCTTTGGTAACATAGTAAGGGAGATAATGTGAATAAAGGAGATAACCCTGTGATTATTTGTACGTGATATTTCCCAATCGCTAATAGTAATTGCTTCCCCTTCTATTATAGCATTTAATAAGAGTTACTGAAATCACTGGGTACAACATGGGTTCTCAAACACTGTTTTGGTCCATGGGGCGATAATTTGACACCTGGGTACCCCCCGCACCCCCCCCCACACGTGCCTTACTAAAAATTTGTGCACCACCCTCTATGGTAGATTATAACCCCATTAAATGTTTAAATTCAAGTTTCTCAAAGAATATGAAATGGTACATGACTACAGTTACCTTTGCTCCAATTGGAAAATTTAAAAATGTGGAAGTTTTTCTTATTTGTCTCAACACTATCTTTTCAAAATCATTTATAGTAACAACCTATTTGTAATATATTTTCAATAATTATCTAGTAAATTTAAAATATTCCAAATTACCCCGGGTAAACTTGTAAATACGTTTCATCAACACAGATGTCATTGATCAATCTATTTTTCATTTGATTTTTCTATACATTTAAAAAAAAAAAAAAATCCAAATGAAGAATTCCATTTTATTCCAAATTTTTCTGGAAAATGTCAACTTAATAAAGTGGCTTTCAGTGTCAGTTATTCAAAAATCTTGTGGTTTTTTTTTTTTTGGATCTGAAGTACTATTTTACCGGTTGTTAAAAATAAAATATTTTGATTGATAAGATTAGAATCTTTTATTGATCCCAGAAAATGGAAATGTTTTCTAATGACAATCTACACATTAATTTCAGTACATGTATAATATTCCAAGACAAAAATTTTAAAATAGGAAAATTTTAACAATAAAATATATGAAAAGAACATATGGGGTGCTGGGTGGCCGAGTGGTCTAAACTGAGCAAATGTCAAGTTGGTGGTCTGGAGTTCAAATCCAGCAAGAGCAAAAACACCACCAGCACCCCGGGTAGATGGGACTCGTTAACCTTGGACGGACGGATGCCAGCAATATGAAAAGAACATATGTAGGCAAACAAGAGTTTGTATTCATACATATTTCTACCCCATGGTAACAATGAAGGGAATAAGAGAGTTTATAAATAGTCCTCCCTCCAGGGTAACAAAGAAGGGAATAAGAAGTGATAAGAGCACAGCTGGTGCCAAACTGTCTTTTCAGTTTGTGCAAATCCACATATTTTCTACATTCTGCGTGTGGACACCAGTAACAGTGTCATTTGGATAAACAAAGTTGTGTTTGTAGATTTCAAATGCCAATGAAATATCCTCTCTCCACTGTCTGGTATTTCTGGTAAAATTGTACTTCAGACCCCAAAAAATATGATATTTTAAAAACTGATGGTGAAGTGTTAGTAATCTATTGCAAGATCAAGCATACTGTAGTTTATTCTCCGTCCAACACAGGCTGGTGGAACTTACTTGGAACGGAAATATTCTTGTATCCTGATGCGATTACGCTGCTCCTGGCTCATGCCCAGTGACCCCAACACCTGGCAGGTGACATACCCACATACAACACTGCAATGAATTTGATAGTCATTTAACAACATTATTGTTGCATGAGACCAAATAACCCCTACCCATATAATGATCTACAGCAGATTCTAAAACTTGTATTTTTTTTTAAATGTTAAAGTTAAAGATATCCATTATTTTTTTTAAAATAATATGAGCACATACTGGAAATACAAACAAACACTTCTTACTCTCCTTTCAACCAATCAGAAAGCTGCTATTTTATGCAATTTATTTTGTCCTCCATCTCACATAGTCAGCCCATTAGGAAATTACTATTTCAGTACCAAGCAAAGTGAAACAAGTCCATTTCTTTTCTAAGTTGCTGACTAAAAAATATTATTAATAATAAGTCTTTCATCCAGTCATAAAAAACCCAAATAATGATTGTGGAGAAAATGTGATATTTTAATTAAAATAAAACATATTGTTTATCTGATTTATATGGTATCAAATGTGTAACAAAAATTTAAAATATTCATGTTTTAAAAAAAAGTATCTGTTTTTTGTGTGTAAATTTTTCATGTTATTAGTTCAGTTTGCACCATCGTTTATGCAGGAACACCTAACAGCTCATTACTTGACAAATAGTGTCTAGATTCTTTTGTCTCATGAGTTCCAAACATCCCATTAATGTAAATTTTTTTAAAATTCATGTCATTCATGTTGTTACGTCAACCCATGTTTTGGGTTGCTCAATAAAGCTTGTATACATATTATGTCAGTATTAGCCTGCATTGCCAACTCTTCATAATAAGTCTCAGGGATGAATGAACAGAATTAATCATACTTTTCAGAAGTAAAAATCTAGGCCTGGGTTTAAATTAGGACGAGTTACATAAATTAATCTTTCAATATTATGGAATTGGTCAGACCAGTCAGATATATCAACATCTTCCAACACTTACCCAACTATGGCTCCAGTAGCTGTGAGTTTAGCTATATGCCTTAAACCATTTCCTACACCTGTCAAACCAAGTCCTAGCCCCGTGGCTATGCCGTACTCCCACACAGACGATTTGTTTCTGTATGCGGCTATAGCTTGGGACAGGTGGCTGTAAATTCATATCATTTTCATCAATGCTCAAAGAACAAGAATTGCAACAATCTGCTGTAAAATGCAAATAACCACAACAAAGTCAACATTATTACAAATAGCGCACATAATTTAGGTTTCACTGTTGAGGGATATTTCGGTAGTGTTGTGAGATTTAGTTTGCCATATATAGAGTGTGATCAATCATAGCTTTAAATTGGAAAAAGCTAAGAGCCAAGTCCAAGTTAAGTTTCAAAAGCCTCACCATAAAATAGGCATAAGTGTTATCATATCTACTTTGTCAATTTTATGATTTAAAAAAAAATCTTTATTTTTAATACTGTTGAATAATCCATTTGAACCTTCAAGTGTACAGTTTAAGGATTCCGATCCAAATGTGAAAAAATGGGTCCCACTGGGCACAGATTGTTTAACTTACAAGGCTGTGGTTGCGAAGACGGTCAATTTTACTGTAGACTTTAGGGATGCCTTCATAATTTCACTCAAGTATCTGCGGTCCAACTGAGGATTTAAGAACAGCATATTCTGTTCATTTTATTTCTCCAGGCACTAAGAGTTAACAATTTAGCAAACAACAAAAATCAATATTTTTCTAATAAACAATTTCCCCGCGTAAGGGTTAAAAAGAAAACTTAGAATGGGCAGTTTTCTTGATTCAAATGGTGCAAAACACTTCATAAAAAATCCCACCACGCACATATTTTTTTAAAAAATCAGTTTAGTAATTAAATTGAACCAGATGATTGCAGTGGACACAAAGAAAACTCAATTTCATGAGTAACAAAGTAGTTAAGGCATTAGAAAATTGTAAACCATCTCTTGAATGAAACAAGACAAGAGTTTTGGCATAATACCACTGCAAGCCTAAGAGGCATAATGGATAACTGATAATGGATCTATGCTATGAATCTCTTAGACCCATAATGGATAACTGATAATGGATCTACGCCATGAATCTTTACAAACTATGTTCAAATTAATCAGTTTTTTTAAACTGGTTCATTCAGACCCAGTGCTGAGAAATTGGCTTTAAAAATAAGTTTTGTTGTTGATTCTTATTATTTATTTCAATTACAAGTTAATGGAAAAATTCTGCTTCCAGTGAAACAAATCAAAAGTTATGAGAGACTGGTCCTTTTTAATAAATGAGAATCACTGGGATGAATAAACAAAAAATAGTATTTTTCAAACTTATAAAGATGTTTTTTTTTGCTATATATATTTTATTCATCTTTGTTTTTCTATTGACATTAAATCAGGTTTATAAAGAATATTATATTTTTTTAAACCAGCATTTACCAAAACAGTTTGAGCGGTTGAAGCGTTCGCCTTAGCTCTTTCATTTGCTTCAGAAATTGAAGTGATGACACTAACAAATGCCCCAAGATAAACTGTTCTACGCAGCATTAAATTCACTGTTTGGGTATCTTCTTGCAGAAAGCCAGAGCTGGATCTGAAATTATTTAAAAGTCTAACGTCAAAATAGGTTATATAAAACTACTATAACTCAGCTATTCAGTTAGAATATGTAATTTAATTATTTTTTTAAAAAGAGATGCAAAAGTATGTTTACCTTTTAAACATTTATTTTAAAATAATAAATTCTTCTTGTAAAGTCTTTAAAAAAAACCCTCTTAAATTGTAATTAAAACACTTAATCAAAATAAAAGATTATTCTGTGACATGGCAACTTTAGTTATGACTGAGTATTTTGGAGATAGTCACAGCAACAGTAAATCAATAAATATATAAATTGTAATCACCATAACTTACAGGGAATAAAGTATCTGCAATCTCTGGAAGCCTGTTTCTTGGTCTGAAATCTTACTGATGCCAACTTCACTATTAAGAATTTTCTTACTCCTGTTTGGTGACTGAATTCTGACACCAGGAAGAGAATCTTCTTCATGTCCATCAAGTCCATCAGATTGACTGTATGTGTCACTTGGTGTTTGCAGACCATATAAATCTTCGCGAGGATAGGAGGAGCATTTCGCAGTAGGTAGAGGATTAGGTGAGGCCATCTTAAAGTGTATAACAAAAGTAGGTTTTATAATAAAATGTTATAAAACAGATAGATTTTGTTTTGTCAGCAACGGACTTTGATTTTTGCCACCCTTAACTTCAGAAAACCACAAACCATACAAAATACACATAAGCTCAGACCATAAAATACTGCCTGCCCACTGCCGACCACCCCTCCCCCCACTGTCTCTTCAATGCAATATTCCTTTCTCAATAGGCATATAAGGGTGGGGCAAAAAAAATGGATTAACTTTCCAGTGGGGGGGCAAAAAATTTTTAGTAATGTTTTAAAATAGTTTTAATTTACTGTAGCGTATTTGTATGGTGAACGAAAGGACAGGACATCAGCTTAGTTACTTTCTCTTTATTCTCTCTTTACTTTAATACATTTTTTGTTTATTTCTGTCTAATTTTTTTTATCCAATCAATCCAGGGGGGGGGGGGGCAAGTAACCCCCCCTGCCCCTACCTGCGGGCGCCCATGTAGGCGGGATAGTGAGTGTCATCATACGGCATTCATAGTAATTGTAATCATCATAGTAATAGTAATAGTTTACTAATAGTGACTCAGGCTAAACTTAAGTAAGTAGTGTAAGTTAGTGTAATTAACCAGAAGATAATAATATTAATATTAACTAGGTACTTACGACTTACTACTCATAAATTAGCCATCAATTGCATGAATTCTAATCCTACCTTTACACATCAAATATTAAACCTTTGTTGTCAAAATATTCATTGCTAAATTCAGTCATCTACTAATTAATTAATCATTTATTAAGTCAACCTTCATGTTTGCTTGCTTCCTCCTCTCTACTTTCACTTTCGCATTACAAATTTCCGGCCTCTCTGGGTCTTAGCAGCTAAAAATAAAAACATTTACAAAAATGTATTGTTTGTTTGTTTTCCAAAATGTAATTAATCAGCATATATTATGTAAAAATATAAGTTTTAAAATTTATTCCTTCATATTTCTATGGCCATAATCTTTCATAGGCTTCAACAAAGATACAAAATGTAAAAGGAAATTTAAAATACGAAATTTATTTAAGAGATAACTCTTGAAAGAAAAAAGCAACACATTTGTAATATTTTATTATTTCTTAATGCCCTTTAAATGCTTGATTCGCTATTAGCTATCGAAACGGTTGATCCGATCATTATCGGCTGTTATGTTTGTAGGAGATTTTCATATGGACAAAAAAAATCTTCATTAAAATTTTGAATTTCTTTATTCATTCTAAGACAGGGAGACTACTACTGCGACCACTGATACTAGCTCGGACAGACTATTGCGACCATTAACGCCAAACGATGAGAGTTGATAAAGTTGAAATGGTTCGGCTCACTTGGTTAATAGCATTTTTTTTTTATTTTAATCGTTGGGCGATAACTCACAACTATTAAGTATGCCCAAAACAAAGTGGCTATTCGCACCCGGGTATCAGAAGTGAGAGGTTGGAATTTTAAAAAAAAGCTATTTAAAATTTTATTATTGGATTTGTAAGACTAAATGAGGCATCAAATGAAAGATAATTGAATGGACTATATTTTTGTTAACTTACTTCTTCATTTTAACTAAAATAAACTACCACAAATGACATCCGAATTTCAAAATAATGACATCGAGCTGTACCCTTTTTTTAAAAAAAAATCCGCGCTTTGGGGCCCCCAAGCAGGCAGGGTCCTGAGTCATTTAATCTCGTGAGAATCTCCATTGGGATTAATGTGACAAACAATCATCTGCCAACGGTTTTTCTTGTTACGTGTAAGACGTGTGTTTTCTGTTATGCAGACTTTCCTTTTTCATTGGTTGCTAACCACGCGAAAAAAATGGCAGTCTGTAGATCGATACACCTTTTTTTGGGTGACTGGGTGGCCGAATGGTCTAAACTGAGCAAACCTCAATTTCAGCCAAAGGCCGGTCAAGCAAAAACATCACCCCGGGTGGATGAGACTCGTTAACCTTGGTCGGCAACTCATCTAAGAGAAGGAAACTCTGAATTCAAACCCGGAGTTGGAGTCCCGTAAGGCGCATACAATGTCCATTCCTGCAACCGTACCCATCCCTGGTCGTCTTGACGTAGAGTCTTGCCACTGGATATGGTGGGCTCGGACGAGAGAGTGAGGTTGACGCTGCGCAACTCTTCCTCACTTTAAACAAAAGTCACC